GCCCGAGGGTTATATTTGACTTCCCCTAAACCCAAAGTTTGGCAAAAGCTCAACAAAATACTATTGACAAGAGATTAGTCCTTCTAATAATCTCTGCACAAAGAGATTACACTCTGTACAAAAATAGTTAATTGCAAATAAGATGTTGTAATGATGGTGATCGTAGAAACTTTATCCCTATGAATAAGGATGCGTGTCAAGGCTGCATTTTCACCTCAATGCTATTTAATATCTATCTTAATGATCTGCCATCATTTCTAAACTGCATCAAAGGCCGCTTCCCTTTCCTTGGTTGTTGATGCTGTATGCTGATAATATATATTCAAGACTGAGACTCAAATACCTTCTAAGCCTTTACTGATAATCGAAAGCAAAATTCCCTTGAAATACATTGGGACAAATCTAAATTGCTGTCTTTATTACATTTATATGGCTGGCCATTTCACAGAAGGGACTCTGGGCACTGTACCACAATCAATAAAAATAACAAATATATAAAAACAGTAATTATAAAATCAATTATTACAAATGAAAATGTACTACAACCAAGCAGGCTTTAGGCATCTTGGCTTGTTCTTTCACCAATTCTCTCTTCTGGTCAACCTACCATTGTCCTAAAGTGAGAAGCCAACTTTTCTGTACTTCTGCATTTCTTCTGTTCGATGATAGATATTACATTCCAGTTGCAATTCAAACTTCTAATGCTAAGCTTGCCTCACACCTTCTACTCTGTGGGCTTCTGTGTAGATAAATATAATATCTCAAGGACACTGTAGTATTCAGTTGTGTTTTTAAAAAACCTTCTTAGCACTGCACAGCTGTGTTCCAAATGATATAGAAACAGGACAAAGGCCACTGAAAGTCAGGGCACATCGAGCTGCAATTATTCTTTCAAGGACTAACAGCCCCTGCTGGTGTTTGTGCATAAGCAGAAGGACAGCATAAAACAAAAGCATTATAATTTTCACATACAGATTTACAAGCCTCCCTACATTTGCACTAATAAACTTATTAAACTTGCATGAAATCATTTAACATAAATTATGTCCTCTACCTACAGAGATCAATTAAAGCTTAATATAAAATCAAGGAACAGAGGATTAAAAAACATGCAGTCAAATGTCAGAGTGAAGTTATATGATCTAATCAGAGGTTGCTAACATGTTCATAACTCCAACTAGCTATTGAAAGAGAACAAGAAGAGGCAATCTTATCTATCTCAGAAAGAAAGTCTGTGATTAAGATGATCATATCAAAGAGACCTTTCTTGAGTACCCAAGTCTTAAAGAAACAATGTTGTGATATAAATGGGCCTCCAATGGTAGCATAAATTATGTATACTTAAAGAGATGTTCATTAACAGTTGGGGGTTCTTTAGTTAAAAGGATTATGTATTGTACTGTATTCAACCTGGATACATTTGACTTTCGCCAGCTCATAAAAAACAATTTGAAATTCAGATAAAATAAACAATAAATACAATGATGAATCCAGCTAAGAGGGACATATAGTCACACTACAAGGGGCTTTAGTACTCTTAGCCTAAAATCTGGAAGAACCAAATCTTTAAGGCCTACTGGAATGTTATCATCTGATTCTCTGGAGGACCCTTATTTCAGAGGGCACTAAGGTCTGGATGGATGCATCATTTGTTCAAACAAATCTGGAACATGCCAACCTGTCAGATCAAACTGGTAGGTCTGGTATCACAGGAGACAGATGGCTCCTCAGTAAGCAGGCCCTATGGCATGTAGGGCTTTATAAGCCATGATCAGCACGAGCCACACCAGAAGCACACTGATAATCAGTGCAGCTCACTGTTAGGAATAACATAGGTTACCTAACGTAGTTTGGGTAAAATAATATATATAAACTATGATTGTAAGTTTAAGTGTGTGTCACTTTAAAACTGCAAAGCATGTAATTTTGGGTGTGGTGTGAAACCACCATAAGAGGGAGCAAGAGAACCTGATTGATTGCTGACAATTACTGGATTGCATGGATTGATGGTTTGTTAACTGCATGTTTCCCCTACTGCTGAGTTGCTGAAGGAAGAGAGGAGTTTTTGACTTCTTCATATCTCTACTGCAAGGATATATATTACTGGACTGATATTTGTAAGTTTACTGACCTCTCTTTTTCAACACTGGAATTTGCAACTGAATAATCCCTGGACGGACTGAACTAGTGAATGATATATGGACTGTTTGACTATGCTATAACTCTTACTGGAATAAACTATTTAATTAGCACTGTGTATCTGCTTTACTGAGTGTAAGCTACAAAAACGTTTATCTCACATATTTTTGCCTGCCTGCCTGACTGCCATGCAGATTCTGCTAGGGTGTATCCCTAACACTCACCAAGCATGGATGTCACCTGACCACTGTTGTGCTCAGTTGAAGATTCCAGGTGGTCTTCAAGGACAATCCATGTAGAGTATACAGTAGTAATCAAGTTGTGATGTGACTAGGCCTCTCCTTTGTGGAGTACCATAGACTCAATTGTCTTTCCCCTCCTACGTGAAACTGCTGGTCTGAGATCATTTGCCAGTTTGGACTTCGGGATCAACAGTATGATGACGATACTTATATTTCGACCCCAAGCAGGCCAAGAGAGGCTGCTGTGGTCCTTTCCTAATGCCTGGAGGCTCTGCAGGTTTTGATGAAGAGCAACCATCTCCGATTCAATCCCAGAAGACTGAGCGGCTATGGACCACGTAGTTGAAGATATTCTACCAGTAACCATGGACAGGATAACGCTGGATGATGGAAGAGAATCACTGTAAAAGCCACTGAAGCCAATGCAGAAAGATATTGTAGTTGATGGAATGAAAGCTGGTGAGAGATTAAGGAAGGAGCATCCACTCTTTCTGCCTCACCACAGATAATCTAGCATGATCAAGACTGTCTCTGTATTAAATCCACTGTGAAACTAACTGAAATGGGTACAGAAAATCTGTTTCTCTAGGGTGTCTCAGTCCACCTGCTCAACAACCTTCCCTAAAAATGGAAGCTTGGAGACAGGATGATAGTTATCAAAAACCATGGGCCCAAGGACAGTCTCTTTAGGAGAAGTTGCACCATCACCACCCCCTTCTTCAAAGGGCCTGTCGCTACAGAATGAACCCAAATGTAGCTCATCTCCCAGGGCATTTTCACAATCTTGGAGGGCCCTGGGTTCAGGAAAAAAAGTGGCTCAACTGATAGCACCTAGAACCATGTCTATCTCCTCAAGAGTCATTGGTGCAAATATATGTCTGCATTACGAATATAACTATTCTCCACCTTGGTTAAACTAACAGATGTTCTCAATTGTGATTTGACGTATGTGGACAGCTTGATTCAAATTCCACTTTTGTTTTATATTTGTGGGGGAATACATGCTAGTTGCTTGACATAATCAGCCTGCGAACTAGGGTTCATAAGTTCATAGTAAGGCAGGTACCTCTATTTGAGGGCGGGGGAGCAGGTTAAAAAAGTCCCCAATAAAAACTCAACCAAGAGTCCAGAATAGAAGTTGTGTTCCTCTTTTATGTATGTCACATGTGAAATGAATATAAAAAGAGCCAATATTTTGATGGCACTGTTGTGGCCATCTTGACATTTTTTTAGTCCTGTCCATATATATCCTTTGCTGCAAAGGTCAGCAAAAGTTGGCTGTTTTGGACTGAAGTTGTGGTTATACTTTGCTTAGCACGTCTAAAATGGCTTGTTAATATAGCTTAACAAGGAAGGCACAATATACCGTACTGTAATTCTATGCTGTTTCCCTTGTCCATAGTAAGTCACAATCAATCTCTATTATAGCTTACCATATAATGAAGATACATTGCTGACATGCATATTTAGTATTTAGAAATTATTTTTTGTATATGAATCAGAGTACCGTACACCTCTGAATTGTACTTAAGACTGCAAATCAGTGAAGTTATTCAATGCGAGTATAATATCTGGTCATTCAATATTTTATTTCCTAGAGTTTGCTTTCAAACTCTTTAAAACCAGTTTACACAGAAGATTAGCGATTTAAATCAGTGTTTTTCAGCACTTTATGTGTAGACCAACTCCCAGAATTCCCTAGTAAGCATGCTGGTTGGAAGATTCTGGGAGTTGAAGTCCATAATTACGGTATCTTAAAAGCTGGCTGTTGTTCTGGGAATTGAAGTCCGCACATTTTAAAAGTTGCTGAGGTTGAGAAACATGTGATATATACATAAGCAAGGAATATGCCCAGGCAACTATAAAAACAGTGTATGGACTTGTGATGAATGGAGACCTAAGTACGGGTGGGAACTGGCCACTCTGAAAGAGACTGGCACCTTCTTAGACCAAGAGCAGCATTTCCTGATTCCCATCTGAGGGCTAAGCTCAGAGATATGTGAGAACTGGAGAGATAAAGGTCCTTGTGTGTGGGAGAGCCTGAGAATCGAGGAGATAAGAATTACATTGAAAAAGGCTTAAGAATTACATTGAAAAAGGCTCCTCCGTGCCCAGATGTTTACTCAACCTCAGAACAGCTGGAACATTTCCAGCCTATCACTCGGTCCTTTTTTCTCTTCCCTTTCTTCTGTATTTTTCCACCCGGCCGTCGCTTCTTCTTTTCCGCCACCTTTCATCCCTTTGTCCCCACCTCCCCCCTCTCCCCATTCCCCTCCTCCCAAATTGTCCTCTTCCTTCTCCCTCCCACAACTTCTCCCTACTATACTTCGTCCTCAACTCCTTTTGTTGTTCGGGCTTGCAACCTCTCGGAACTTGCTTCGATTCCGCAAGCGAAGGGCCAGATCACGTGCGTTAGTGACAGCCTGTCTCGGCGCGGCCCCTAACACCGCCCAGGCTCACATTGGTGCGCAGCCGAAGCCGCTTGTCCGTCCCTCATCCCCCCCCCTCCCCGCTTTCTCACACGCAGAGAGAGATACATACACACTCGGCCCAGGATGGGATGGGAAAGTGGGGGGGCCGGGGCGGGGCGGGGCCAGGGACGGCCCCTGCCGATCAGCTGTTCGCTGGATTCTATAACAACAAAAGACTCCGCCGGGAGCCGAGACGGGCCGACGCAACAGGGAGCCTTGAAGGGACTGAGGGGACCGCCGCCCTGCCAACCTACCTCAGTAGCCGCCGTCCAGCTTCTCCCTGCCCCGACGTTCGCAGGACGGTGAGTGATGCCGGCGTGGCAGCGCTGGGCACCGGGGGTGAGTGGGCGGCTGGATGGGTGGCCAAAACGACTTCCCCGCGATGCGCGCTGCGCTTGGAGCGCGATCCGCCCGGGCATGTTTCCTCCTGGACGCATCCGGAGCCGATTTAAAGATCCGACCCGGGGGCGCGAGGGGGGGGGATTCTCATCATCGCCGCCGCCGCCGCGCCTTTAGGTGGGGCGGGCTGCTCGACTTCCATCCTTCCGTGGATAAGGAAGGAGTCAATCTCTCCCCCCCCCCGCCCCCCGACCTTCCCTTTCTGCAAAGCTGTAAACAAGCGGACCGGTGGCGAGGCGAAGAAGTAACGCCGCGATAAAAGTAGTTCCTCTTGGCATCCCTCTTCCCCCTTTCCCGGCTTTTCCATCAAGAGCCGCGTCCCGAGAAAGCCCCCTGGGCGGCTTCGCTTTGGCTCGAACGAGCGTTAGCAAGCGCGGCTCGGCGCAACCACTTGTGGCGTCGATCTCTCGGAGCTCGGCTACCCGACCCCGCGCGTCCTTGCTCGCGGTTCCTCGCGGGGAAGGAAGACGCTCGGTCGGTCAGCGCACATCCGGAGAGACGCGACTGTTCCAATGCAGCCCCGCTATTCGACCGCCCTCTGATCGCCCCGCTGATTTCCGTGGGGGGCTGCCCGGAAGAAGGCGAAGGGATTTGAAGGAGGGAGGAAAGTTCCTACCTGGTTTTACTAAAGTGTTAAGCTTTACTAAAGTCTTTGACTGTATGTGGTCTCAAGTGGCATTTTCAATGGAGGGGAGGGGGCTACGCGGAGTTAAACCTCGGAATGAGATCGAGATTTATTGGTGTGAAGGCGGGGGGGGGGGAGACTTGCCGTTAAGCAACGTGCGCAGATTCACTGGGAGAGAGACTCCAACGGGCTTCTACTCTGCGTTTAGTTTGCCCAGCGCTAGATCCTACTCCTCCCCAAATGTGGACCGGCCTTTGCTATCCAGGCTCAGGTTAGGAGTTGGCATTTTGCTTGGGATTGCGGAATGGTTGGCTGCGGCTATAAAACTTTGAAATAATAACCGAAGGGGGAGAAAACCGTGGTTTCACGCCACGACTAGCGGCCGGGAAAGGACTTCCTTTTCTCTCTCTCTCTCTTCGAGAAATCGAAGCGGACATCACCATCCATTCAACGAGGGCTCCGGGACGAATACCCAGAAATGCCCCAGCTTTAGAGATGCTCCTTTACGCAACCCGCCTATTGCGATCCTCGGAGTAACGCGCCTCAAGTCCTTCTCCCCCGCCCAAAGCCGGGCAACGCGCCGGGGTTCTGCCTCGCGTCGGCGGGCCTCGATCCTCTCATTTCATAGCTTCTCATTCTTCACTTTCTCTGCCTACTTTGCAACCTGCCGCGGGAGTTGCTTTCGCGTTTCGCCGCCTCCTGGTGAGATGGGAGAGGAGGAGCGGGAAGCGCTCGGTCCCGCCCAAGGGGCTGGAGAAGTTTCGGCTTGCCCTCTTCCTTTGCATATCCTGTTTTGTTTAAACCGAAGCGAGAAGTGGCCTTTTCTTTTCTTCAGCTTTTTCTTTCTTCCTTAACTACTTCGGGGCGCTTTCTTGGCGCTCAGGTGTGACTAACCCTCCCAGGAGCAGCCTGGCAGGCGCCGCTGCCAGGGAGGAGTTAGCTGGTGAACAAAACAAATTGAACAAAACACATCGGATGCCCGTCCCCCCCTTTTTTCCCCAGGGAAATGCGACCCACTTGCTTGTGTGTGTGTGTACACACACACACACATCCTCAACTTATGAGGGTTCATTTAGTGACCAAAGTTACAATCGCACTGAAAAAACTGATTTATGGCCATTTTTCACACTATGGGGACGTTTGCAGAATATCCCCAGAGTCAAAAATTAGGATGCTTGCCAACTGACTCATATGTATGGTCCTTGCACTGTCCTGGGGTCATGTTGATCCCCCTTTTGGCAACCTTCTCACAAGCAAAGCCAATGGGGAAGTCCACTGAACAACCCTGTGACTTAACAACTGCAGGGATTCACTTAGCAGCTGTGGCACAAAAGGTTGTAAAATGGGGCAAAATTCACTTAACCAATATTTCACTTAGCAACAAAAACGTTGGGCTCAATTCTGGGGATGAGTCGAGGACCACCTTTGTGTGTATCTGTGTGTGTGCGTGTGTGTGTGTGTTTATCTGAGCAGGGACAGTTCTGGTGTGTGTGTGGAACCCCCGCCCCCCCCCCCCCCCCCTCAAGAATAAATTCCTAAAATGAACGCACAGACAGGCTATCATTCCCATGTATTCAGTACTACAAACCCCATTTTGTGGAATCCTGATGCTCTCTGGAGTTGGTTGTTTTCTTGAGGACTTTCATTACCCAGCTTGCTAACATCATCAGTGCTCTGAGGAAGTTAGCTAATTGAGTAATGAAGCATTTGCAAGAAAACAACCCAGCCCAGGAAACACCAAGGACTCCGGAGTTTTCAGCACTGAGCTACAAACTGTTCTCTTATTGAAACCCCGCTCTCCCTGGCTGCAGACTGAATTTGAAAACTGTTCTGAGCCTTTTTAAATTTATGAGCACCTAAAGGCAACTTGCCGGCTATTGTGAGAAACAAAATGTTGAACTAGGATGGCTTGGGGTCTGATCCAGAGGGTTGTTTTTGAGAGATTTATGGGTAGGTAGACATTGGAAACTTCTCCATTTTTTTTAAATAGATGAGTACATTTCCTGCTCTCTTTATTTTGTTTTTATCCATGGAATAAGGGTGGGTGGGGGAAATCTCTATTGTTGGAATGACCTTTGAAATTATGCTTTAACCAATAACATTTACTGTCTTGAATGAAAAGCATGAGTCCATAAAATTATTTCAAATGACTAACCATGCTTTAGATGGGCCTCCTCCTTATGTAAGGTTTTAGGAACTTTTTCCATTGTTTCTTTAGAAAAGAATCTTAGTACAGCACTTCCTGGAGTTGGTAGTTGAGAAAGACAAAAGTACACACACACACACATACACAGACACACTTGGGGAGGGGAGAGAGAGAGGTACTAGTCCAATTTAAAGAATGAGCAGCAATAAGCTTAGTGCGTCTTGGATTGTCGTAAGCGAATGTGTTCTTATGAAATAGTACAACAGATCATTTTGATTCTTTGGAGAGAAGAGAATCGTTTTCCCACCCACCTCCAACCCTTTATGTTTCAAAAGTATTTTTGTACAGACGCCTCCAATATTGGGCAACTGTTCTATTTGTTTATTTTCACTGCGGGCACGGCTAAATCCAATTGATGTATTCTGATGCAATCTTAGACTTCCATGAGCATGAATTTCTCAGATTTTAATCAGCGGTGATGCTTGGCTGGAAGAAAAGAATTGCTTTGGAACATTACTTTTGTATTCAGGACAAGAGAAGAGAAGAGTGGATTGGATTGATTATAGCTATATGAGGAGATTTACACTTATATTTTCTCCAATGTAAATAACTACTTTAAATAATCTTTCTATGGTAAACCCCATGTAGTATGCTTGATTTACTGTTTTGACGAGTTCTAAATCCAATAACTAAACCTACTGCAGCTCTGTATTGCTTTACCCTGCTGCAAATATGCAAGACAAAAAACCTGAAAGATCAGGGTTAATGGTCTCTGGATGAGAATGCTAGAATTTAAATCTTTTTCAATGCAGTGCCCTCTGCTGGAAGCAACAGTGTGTTCTGAAAAAACAAAGGGAGCTTTAAATATTCCTGCAGCATATTTAAAGAAATGATCAAAGAGGAAAAAAACATGAAGTTTGAGGATTTGAAATAGATTCCGAAACACAAAATTTTGTTTTGGAAGGTCAGAAGAAATGGAGATGAGGAGTATCTTCACATTGTGTTAACCAGTAATACCTTAATGTTGACTTGTTTAATAAATCACAATTGGCTTGGTCCATACAGCCTTTTAAGCTATCAGTGGAAGATTGTTGATTATTTTCTCTTTTTATTTTTGCTTTTTTTTTCTTTTAGAGGGGATGTTTAGGGGAAGAAATAAAATAACAAACCATATTGCTTAAAAGTTAATAATTTTTGGTGCTGAAATTTCACAGCATTCATGAAAATCTTTAAAATGAATGCAATCCATGGAATAGTGTCTGGACTAAGCCAATACCAAACAGTTCTCATTATGCTTAGCATAGTTGTGACCAACCTGGGTGTTTTAGATGAATGGATTTCCCAGATCCAGATTCCTCAGCCAGGGTGGCTACTGCTGAGAATTCTGGGAAATGACTGGTGCATATTTGAAGGCAGCCAGATTGGGGAACACAATATGCAAGGCAGCCAATATAGGAAAGGAGATATTTGACAATGTAAATATGTTGCTGATGGCAAAAGGAGAGGTCTCCTTTTCTATAGTGTCCTGTGGAAGTCCCGTAGCACCAGAGGTGGCAGACTTCTCTGGTTTTTAATTTTATGAGAACTCCAAAAACAGATCCAGGGAACTTTGTTGAGTCCGTGGCAGCTTCTGAACTGGTATCCTGGTTTTAACTCAGAATTCTTCAGCCGGCTTGCCTGGTTATATCATGCCATGGTAAACACAACATATACAACACTATCATGGGCAGTGGTGTATTAAAACTAGAGTGAGATTTGCCATTTTCAGATAAGTCAAGAATACTCACATGTGTGTGTGCCAGTTATATATGGTTACATATACATACATAACCTCAATGAGGTAAGCATAGAGCAGTCAGGTATGCTCAAGTAGGTTTAATTGAATGCAGGTGCATGATGTGTTTTAGAGCATTAAACTTATGCTTTCTTTTTGTCTTCTCTGCAGGTTTTTGTAGCAACTGTTTACAAACCATGCCTCTCTGCATCCAGTGCCTCAGCTGATAAAGTTTTTATGCACTTTAATCTTCTACCTGCACCCTTAAACTTTGGTTGGTACGTTGTGGAGTGGTACCTCATTTTGTGGACACAAACAAAACATCTTAGTGATGTTCCAGAGGCTGAATAATATGTTTGTGGGAGAACTCAGTAATTTGCCCAGCCAAGAACCAGAGTTCAGTGAGAAAGAAGAAGAAGAAGAGTGGATTCTAGTAGACTTTATCGGTAAGATGTCTTTGAAACAAGAGTTGTCTAAATGAGAGATTTTAAACCAAAAAGTTCTTTATATTCAGGCAGTATATCAGGCTAAACATGAATGATGTGAGGAAGAAAACAATATAACTTCAAGCTGTTTATCCCACCTTTTCAGAACTAGCACAATTTCATTGTGCTTCAACAATTGATTATAGCAGAAAATTGGCCATTCCTCATTCTTTCTTGTCCCTGTTCCAGTTTGCTCAGTTGTTATTGAACAAAAGGATAAATTTTCAAGGGCTGCTTTCTCCAACTTGGTAGCAGATTGATAGGCAGCTAGGCCAAAGCAATCCTAGAGCTCATGTTGGCTGAAGTTGATAAGGATAGAGGGACACCCAGCTTGGAGATAGCTACTGCATGCTTTTGGTTCAAATGTTTACATTGGTGTGAAAATTCTTCTTATCCATAGTAGGGGATAATACTCATATACCTTCCTCAACTACAGGAAATGAAATTTTCATTCCTATAAGCATTGAAACTAAATTACTGCAATTCCTGTTTTTCTCTCTCTACATATACACATATAAAATGTAAGATATAGGTTAGTGGTAGCAAACCTTTTTGGGCTCCTGTGCCAAAAATTCTGAGCGCACCAGCACGCCTGTACTCGTACCAGCACCCAGAATGCAATGCACGCACCCCTCCCCATGCCCCCTGCGCATGTGCGCACAATCCCCACCCCCTTACCAGCACTGCACCTCACGGCTGATTTTTTGGCTGGTTTGAGGCCTTTTCCGGCCTCCCAGAGGCTTGGAAAAAGCCTCTGCAAGGCTTCTCGGGCTGAATTATAGGCCCGTTTTGTCACTTCCGGTATTACAGGAAGTGACAAAAAGTGACTTTTTGGGAGGCCGAAAAAGGCCTCAAACCAACAGAAAAAAAATCAGCGATGAGGTACAGGCATGTGCAGTGAGGTAAGTTTGCCTGCAGCTCACATGCCAGCACAAATGGCTCTGCGTGCCATCATGAATATAGGTATTAATTGCCAGTTTACTCTCTGGGTATTATTTTTAATTTGTTGGAATGTATTATATATAATACTTAACAACTGTTTAATTATTTTTGATGTTGCAAGGCTATATATAAATTCTGTAACCAATGTATATGTTGTGGCTATAAATTAACCTTCCATAACTAGGCCCTCTGTTGTAATTCCTGATAGATTCCTGTTCAAACTTTTCTACTGTTGATGAAGAAGAGGAGGAGGAAGTGGATAACATCTGCAAACAACCTCCTGATGACCACTCACCCATCTTCTCTTGTCTGTCTGATTCCTTGGACTGCTTGGCAGATGCCAGTGAATCCTGCTTCATCCAATTAGACTCGTGCTCCATGGAAGAAAGCTGGTTCATCACTCCCCCTCCATGTTTTACAGCAGGTGGTTTAACCACTCTCAAAGTAGAAACCAGCCCACTGGAAAATCTGCTTATTGAACATCCCAGCATGTCTGTATACGCAATCCATAATACCTGTCACAACCTCAACAAGAACAGTTGTGATGAAAAGGAAGAACAGGAGGAGGAAGAGGAAGAGGAGGAAGTAGAGTCCCACGATGAAAGCAATCATAGGTATGTTCTCTATTTGATTCAGGAAAAATGTAGGGGTGCCAGTAACCAAGTGAAAAAATTGGGAAAATTTCATTAAGACAGCATGGAAAATTATTATGAGTGGTGTGAATGATGCTATGAACAGAATGCTTGCTCCCCCCACTCTGCCTCTCCATCACTGTCCATCATTTGTCCTCTTCTCTGAGCTTCTTTGTATGGTATCCATGCCTTTGTTATTGCTTGCTTGTAACCAGATAACAAAAGCGAGCAAGAAAAGCACTGAGACAGATAGATGAGAAAATATCAGGAGCTGAAGGAGAGTCCCCTATTAAGATATGGCCCATAAGATATGGTCCAGTGACACTTCAGTTTTAGTCTTCCATCATTCACTCAGAAAAGGGCATAAATATAAGTATTGGAGGTGTCTACGGAGATTCTTAGTCTTCCAGGTCATGGTTGTCTCAAATGTGCTTTTCTCTTTCTTTCAAAAGGTAACTGGATTTTCTTTGCTTTTTCCTTGAAGATGTTTTGCTTCTCATCCAAGAAACTTCATCGTCTTCCAGAACCAATGAAGCTTCTTGGATGAGTCTTCAAGGAAAAAACAAAGACAGTCCAGCTGCCCTTTGAAAGGAAAATAAAGCACCTTTTTGATATGAACACTGGAGGTGAAACCTCAGTATAGTGCACTGAAATTAAGGTGAGATGTCCATTTTTGCTCCATATTATTGCTTCTTTTCCACGACTGCGGAGATTCTCAATCATCCAGGTCATGATTGTTCAAAGGTGCTTTTCAAAAGGCAACTGGACTTTCTTAGTTTTTTATTGAAAACATTTTGCTTCTCATCCAAGAACTGAAGAAGCTTCTTGGATGAGAACTAAAACATTTTCAAGAAAAAAACTAAGAAAGTCCAGCTGCCTTTATTAAGATAATCCACAGGTGCAGTATTAATAAAAGTAGCAAATGTAAATACATTCAGATCTGAAAAAGGAGTGAATGGACAAAATAACCTTCCTGAATCAGGCTAAGGACTTAGTTCAAAACTAATATATAATATAGTAGCCAATGATCTATATTCAAGAAAATTATTAATAGCATATAAACATAATTGACCTCTCCCCTCTTCTAGCCGTTAGGTTGTAAGTTGTGCAGCTAATGATTCAAGAGACAATATGCTGGATTATTCATGTTTTGCAGAATCCTCTTTTCAACAGATCTAAATTGGTCATTGTTGCCAGATCTGATGGCAATTTACTCCATAGTTAAACTGTAAGGAACTAATTCCTTTTAATAGTTTTGTTCTTTCTGCATTGGTGCCATTAAATACCCATAGAGAAAATCTATCCTGTAGCCACATTTTCCATAATATGCTTGATTTCATTTATTTTTACCATTTTACTCCATTTCTATCTTTTTAAGCTGAAACATTCCAGATACCATAGTCTCTCTTGTTCAGGAGCTTGTCATCTCTGTTAGCCTCTTAGGCGGTTCTGCTCCTCCCACAACTTTACAGTTTCCTTTTTGAGGACCAGAGATATTCTTAATATTTTGAAGTATGATACTCACATTTTTGACAGCGTCCTTATATTAGGATGGTATTTTCATGTAGGTTACTCATCAGGATTCCAAGACCCCTTTCTCAGTCAGTGCTATCGTAATCTTACTAGCATCGACCTGAAATGTGAAAATTTTTGCTCTGTGCATCATTCAGTAACTGTATTATTGTACAGTAACTTGATTTTCTTGTGCCTTGTCAATGCTCATTCACAAACTTCGCCAATACCTTTTTGTCATCAGGACTGCTTCTGTTGCAAAATGGTTTTACGCGCATTAAGTGAAATTCATATTTCTCAGCAGGGTAGACGGCAGACAGCTACACAAGTTAACATTGGGAGGAGAAAGAAGAGGGAAAGTGAAGGGGCAGTAATTGGATAAAAGATATGATCCCTTCCCCCAATGCAGGACAGGTGAATCAAGAGCTCCTCAATAGAGAAGAAGGAATTGCCTTTTACTTGAAGCCCTGTTAATCACCTCAACCTTCCACTCCCTTTCTCCTACAGAAAATGGGCAGTTGACCATGCAACCAAAGGCTTTCCTCAAATTCCTTTGAGGAAAGAAGTACAGTACTTTCGTATCACTTTGGGGAAGGTGCTGTTCACTGCATTTCAGCGATCAATGAAAATCCAACTAGGTTGGATTTGCACAGACTTGGGGCCTTGGTTAAATTAAAGAGGACTTACAGTATTAACCCAGGTTAACTGCACGTGCTTGCCCTGTGAGCCATCAAGTAACTACTAGTCCTTGACTTACAGCCGCTAACTTAGCAACCATTCTAAGTTATGATGGACCTTCCTGGGGCTACTTAAAACTGGGATCAAAGTTTTGATGGCCAACCCCTTCCCCTGGTCCGATTACATTACTGCACTTTGGGCACTCAGCAACAAGCTTACATTTATAGCTGTTTGTTGCAATGTTCTGTAGTCATGTGACTATGTTTTATGATGGTTTTGTCAAATATGGCACTTACTTTTGGTTTTCAGCAAAACCAGGCCATAGCAAACCCTTAGTTTGCTTAACAACTGCTGCAAAAAAAAGTCATAAAATCAGGTTGGTCATGTGGGCAATCCAATTTATGACTATCACAAGTGATGAGCCACGACGGCTCCTTTATGGTCAGAAGTCAAGGACTACCTGTGCATTAGTTGGGCTGACATATTCGCTTGGAATGTGATTGACTAGTTTACGGTTCATTGTTTCATGTGTTATTGTGGTTACCTATGAAAAAACTCTGCCATGTGCCTGAGTCCTTGCTCTATAGCCAGTGCTATCAGTTCCATCCTTGTGCTTGGAATTTTAGATCTGAAGCCCAAAGCAAAATGGGCCAACACGTCCAATGCTACATTGCTGCACTTGCTGCTCATTCAACTTTTCTTGAACAAAGTACCAAGAGTTTTCGTCCTTCCCAGTGGATAAAAGAGTTCAGCGAAAGACAATCCTTGAACAGAAACTATCTCCGTCGCCAAAATCTCACCAGGGATCCCTACACACGGCAACTCAAGAGCAGCGGATTTTTTGTTCACCAGCCTTGCCAGCGTCAGTATAATTACTGAGAGTGTTTTGCATTTTTCTCCCCAGAAATAATATTTGTTAACTATTGTGAGACAATGAAGGTGAGAACTGTCTTAGGATGCTCGTGAGTTGTTTTTACACAATCACTTGAGTGTTACAATTCAGTTGAAAACCACTTTGGTTTCAGTGTCACAGAATGCCTTTTCAATGTTTTGTTTGTAGCTAGTAAACATATATAGTATGTGTAGTAATGTTTGTGTGATTGTGCCTCTTTGCCTCCTTGTGACAGACTTTATAAATTTTATTAGGTATGGATGGGTTTGTTTGTTTTTTATATTCGTATTTACAGCCAAGATACAAGGCATCTTTCAGCCTTCTTGTAGTTACAGAATTTCTCAGGGTCACCCATACACTTGCAATGATCTGTGTATACTGTAGATTGTCTTTTAAAATAGTAACACAACCATCAAAATACAGTGGCCTAAATGGCATTATATTCCTAATATGGAATTGATTTTCTATGTAGCAGTAGAAGGAAGATGAAGAGGAAAAATGTGTAACCTAATATCTTTCTATATAGTTTTCAAAATCTTTGTTTAGTATGGTTTATCAGTTTCCTGTGCAACAGAGGTCCTTTGTAGAATGTAATAGACCTACAAGTGAAGAAGAGGGCGAACCAGGTTTTGAGTATGTGTTCCAGTCGTCCTATTCTTGTATAATTAAATGATGGGAATTGTAGACCAATATACCTACTATCCAGTTTGGGAAAGACTATTTTGAAGAACAGGCGTGCACTTTTCAAAAAAGGCAATGATCCTTTGAGGGAAAATCCAAAATCTATTACTTGCTGATAGTTAAAGACCATTTGAAATTTAACCCAACATTTTCTAGGACTCTCAATCAGGCAAGAAGCTACAGAAATGGAATAGGGAGGAAGTAAGAAAATTCCAAAATTACGCCAGATATCTCAAGTTTGAGACTTGCAGTTTAAAGTCAGTTCCAAGATGGCTATAGATTGACTATAGATTCAGTGTTGAGTTTTATTGGTTTCAGGTTACACCTAATCTCCACAGACAAAGGAAATAATACAAAAACACAAAGATTATCAGTGTGGCAAAGAGCCACACTTAGATAAAATGAAGCATTCCTTCTTATTGTTATGCCAAGCTAGAGAGTATGCTTTTTCTTGGTGTGCTGTCTAAAGTCAATTACGCAAAACAATGCAATGTTACTTGGTGACTATTTTACAACATAATATTTAATCAAATGTTTTGGAAACTTGTTCAGGTTAATAGGGCTTAAATGCATAAACCTTCTGCCCTGGTTTGTTTAAATCATTGCCTGGTGTGGGTGTTGCATTTTTCAAAATCCTCTTTTGTTTAAATGTGAGGTATAGAATGTTTTTTTTTCCAGGTTTTATTAATTGTGGTTAGGCCAAAAGCTGCACCTCCAATTTTGAACTGATTTATAAACATGATCTCTCTCTCTCTCTCTCTCTCTCTCTCTCTCTCTCTCTCTCTCTCTCTCTCTCTAAATATATATATAATTTTTTTTTAAGGAACTGCAATTCACAGCTGCCTTTTCAAAACACACTACGGGAATATAATCTATAAAAGAAATGATAATTGCTAAAGTAGAAATCTGAAAATCCTCTGGCTGTTGTTTCCTAGGCAATCCAAATTTGTCACTGTGCAACTGTGTATTCCTTGCTTGAGCTTAACTAACTGTTCCCTGATATTCTAAAAAAAGATTCATGTTTTTATATAGACACTAATTGTCAAATATCCCAAAAGAAGAGTCCAAAGAATTTACAAGCAATTTAAAACCACAGATGGCAAAGTTCAATAGCTTTTTGTTTTGTTTGTTTTTGGCTTCCAGGATTCAGGAGAGATGTTTCTCCATTAAATTCCTGTGATCTGAATCCTGTTGCTCAGTTTCTAAAAACTGCTAAAGCATTCCTTGTTTTAGTAGTCACTCAGGACCTTTCGTCTGTCAAATTCACAGCACCATCACTGTATTTTCCCCCCTCCCAAAAATACCTCAGGAACCCCTTTCAAGTTTGGCTTGGTTCTTAAATTGATTAAGTGAAATAATGTACTGTATCAGCAAGTGACTCTTAGTTGTCTTCATCTCCCCCCCCACCAAACTATTGTATTCTCATTATTTACTTTTAGGAATTTTAAAATAAAGGCCACATTTATTTCTCTATTCCTGATTTAGCCAGAATTTGAAGTTAGGACTTCTGATTGAGAGGTACAGTTGCTGTCTTTACTGGAAAACTTGCTAGTGATGGGGAAAAAGAAATACGTGCTTGTCAGTTTTTAATATTGGAAATAATGCTATGGTAAAAGGAATTTTGACATACAACTTTAAGCCTGACTCTTTCCTTGTATATTTATATAGCTTGTTTTATTGCCTGGAACTATTAGAGTATTAGAATTTGTTGCTTTTCAAACAATGTGTGTTTTGTGGCTAGAATATGACTTTTTATATTATATCTGTATATTTTTTTCCACAAAAAAACAAATGTAATAACTTGTAAAAATGAAGGCCTTGTGTTACGTTGAATGGAATTTCAATAACTTTGCTGGAACTGTTTTTTATACATATTATAAACAAAACTGTGCCTTTTTCAATGACTTGTACACACTAGACTTGAATTTGAAGATACAAAAAAAAAGGCTTTCTGTTTGGATAAATACTGTATATCAGCCTATGCATTCTCAATGGCAGCTTGTTTGCAGAGCCATTTTCCTTGTGCCTGTGACAGAACTATTGGTAAGCAAGGTTTGGCTGTCCTGTTGATACCATATGCAGGTTACAGTACTTAACATCTCAAAATGACCAGAGCTTGAATAGTTTCTATACCAAGTTCTTGATCTGGAATGAAAAATGCAATATGTTATGAAATCCTGTTGTCTAATGTCAGTTGGTTTCCTTCATTGATTCGCCTACAGCAAGGAGCAATGGGGCATCTTCAGAAGCAACGAGTTAGACTTCAGATTCATAGTTGTTTTTGGCCCTTGATCGTGTTGGCTGGAGCTAAGGACTGTCGGAGTCCGAGTTGACCCATAAGGAGGGCATAATGTTGCCTGTCTTTCTGCTCCATCATAATCTGCAGTTCTGATCCCCACTAAGGGCATGTTGCTTGATAAAAACTTTTTGACTGCTGTGGGTGAGCAAGGAAGGACATTTTTCTCATACCATTCTAATGCTTAAACTTTTTTGATTTTCCATTCATTTAAAACTTAACCATTTTGTTTCTCCTTATTAATTTATTCATTTACCAACCCCACTATATTGCCTTTATATACCGGTATTGGTGAAAGAGCGCAAAATGCTATAAAACAGGCCCTTGTTAAAACAGGACATCAGACCTGTCACTTTTCAGATGGATTAAAAGGGGCGGGTGGGTTAACAAACCATTTAAAAAGTTGTTCAAACTCAACCAGTTACTCAATTTTGATAGGTTTTCAGTTTCATTGTATAGCCTGTTTCTTCCCTTGTATCTCATGTGAGCAATTAACTGTGGTCCAGAATAGAAATCTAATGTAGGAGAATTGAAAATGAATGACAAATGGAAATTAATTGGATTTCATTTGATTGTTTTTCCATTTTTTTTCATTTTGAAAATGCACGGGACTCATTTCTCATTCATTTTTACAATGATCTATTCCTATGAAGAAGAAAAGTTTTGCCAAGTGATTGCATATTTCAATGTGTTTGAACAAAAAGATAATATTCCTATATTTAAAAAACCAGAGTGATTAGTAGGAACTTTCCACTGTGTCCCAATTTATGGTACTGTGCTAGGCTATGAGTAAGCAGTCTCTAGCCATATGTCTACCATGCCTCATTTGGGGTCTCTTTTATGCCTAGCTGCTGAATTTGGGTGGCTAGTTTTTTGCTGAACAATACAATGGAATTGAAGCATTTACCTCCCTGTACACTTCCTTAAACACATCCAAACCACTAAATCCACCAACAAATAATTGGTCCAGGAACTTTTGGCTGTGGCCTATCATGTGATGTTACATTAACAGAACTCCTGTATCTGCTGGCCTCTCAGGAAGATGTCTTGGATTGCTGCCTAAAGAAAAGTTGGATACCAGTGTGTTTGTCAATACTACAGTTTGGTTTGGCATATCCTATAAACCAAATCCATTGGGCAGTTTAACATGTTGCATGAATTACTCAGTCTTACCTGGAGAAATTGGTGTCTTTTCAGCTTGCTTTATAGGCCGTTTTCTATTGATATATTAATGGTAAAATATTGGCCTGACTGTATTTGGACACATTAACAATGTGAATTGTTGCTTTCTATTACGCTCAAAGAATAGCCAAACCAGGAATTTTGTAATGAAAGCCTTGTTTCAGATCAGTTTCTCTCCCATCTATTCCTTGTGTGTGTTATATTTTGGGCAACAGCATCACTGTGCCATTTGGTCATGGTTTGGATTCCTTTGGGCCATAGTGCTGGTCTACATTGCTGTTCTAGGGCACTTTCTTCTGTGAATTCATCACATTAACACTCTGCCAGTTGTGATAGAGGCACAGATATTTTCACATCTAATTTTCTGCACTGCTTTGTAGGCTAGCAATCTAACAGGTGAAATAAAAAGGTTTCAAGGGTCTCCAGGAAAAAAAAGGGAAATTAATCATAATAACCCAACTATATAACTTAAGTATTTTGTTTCATAATGTCCTCTGAAGAAACAGTCAATAAAAAGGCCAATTGATAAAAGTTTTCAGAATCCAATGTTTGCTCTATATTAATCAGTTCTTTGTTTGTGTGTGTGAAAGAGAGAGGGAGAGAGGGAGAGGGAGGGAGAGAGAGAAAGAGATTGAGATTTACTGGAATGCTGTGGGGATAATATGTGTGGGAATGGAGCAGGCATAAGTTACTTGTTACATTTCAAACATTTTTAATCTCTAGATTTAGCCCAAATTTCAAAACTCTTAACGCTTGCTAGCTTTCTGTTGATTTCAATAAAGTTACAAGAATGGAAAAATCCTCCTTTAATGCAGTGGTGGGATTCAAATTTTTTTACTATTGGTTCTGTGGGCGTGGCATAGCTTGGTGGGCATGGCAGGGGAAGGATACTGTAAAATCTCCAGTCAGAGATGGTATTTGCCAGTTCTCCAAACTACTCAAAATTTCCACTACCGGTTCTCCAGAACTGGTCAGAACCTGCTGAACACCACCTCTGCTTTAGTGGTTCTGCACTGAGAAGTGTGAGGTACCAAATGATCTCCCAAGATACCCACCAACTGTGGTCTTTGTGTCTAAGGAGAATTCTGATACAAATTGCAATAGGTAAGGGAAATGTAATTGTAGAACAGTTCTTTGCATAGAGAAAGTTTCATCTCTGCCATTTTTGTAGGGCCAGAAAAGTCCAAGACAGACATCAATGATGACAAATACCACTGAACTACAATAGTCAACCAGTAGTTTTACTTCAGCTACTTGAGATTTTTAGTCTTTTTGTTTTCCATTCCTTCTGAATCTGGTTTCAAGTGTATCAAATTTGTAAATTTTTAATTAAAATTGTTTTTGTATCTACTTGAATACAGAGAAACTTTGCATACAGGTATGTTTACCCATTTGTGGGTCGAACAAGCTTGCCAAGAACTGCTAGCTAATCAAGATTTACCCTAAATAGTTTAATCTTTTCCCTTGCTTCTATGCTCACCATCAAGGCAAATTTCCAATGACTTTAACATTGCAGTGTTTTGGCAATTCTGCACTTGGGCTGCTTTTTGTAAGCAAGCTATCCTATTGCTACAAGGGGGCCTTGGGAGATGAGATGCAGGAGGACAGGCCATCCTTTCAGAAATAAGGCAGATATGTTTTCTGAAAGAGCT